TAAGGAGGTACTTCAGCTGTCTCTTAAAAACTAAATTGTTCGCTGAACCTTCTATTCAGTGATCTAAAATGTCGCTCGGTTACGCACTCAACCATGAGCCCATCATGGTTAAGGAACTTCTACAGCAGTTCTGGTTCACTGCTGAGGTCGTGGATGTCGAAGACAAGCATGGCCGCCAAGTTGAACAGGTCAACTTCACCTTCAATCGCATGGAAGTGAAGTTTGGCGTGAACACAATGAGGACGGCTCTTCGCCTTCCCAAAGGACCCTTCGACAGCGAACCCACAACGGCTGAGATCATCGAGTGTCTTGATGCCATTGGCTATCAATGGCCAATGAAGAACGACTCAAATGCTCCCATGAAGTCCTTATCGAATATTGAGAAGAACAGGATGTCAGCGATCTGGCAATACCTGTTCTCTCACTTCATCCAGTCTATAGGTGGAAATACTGGAAATTAGGACCAGGCCTCTAGGATCTCCTTGACGATTGGTGTTTCTGCGATTCAGTGTCGTAATATAAATTATGTTGCGGTCATTTTCGATGACCTGGTGCAAAAGCTGAACAAGCGCCAGCGAGAAAAGGTGGTGCCTTACACCAGGTTCCTTTCCATGATCTTCGCAAAGATCTTTGGAGATAAATACTCAATGGAAGGTAACCTCCAGGTTTCCAAGCTTGGATCCAGAATTATGGATCATAAGCTGAGGGGCAGTGATGTGACACTCTCTTCTATAGTGTCTCTCACTACCTCTTCTCCTCAGGTGGCCAGGACAAGGATAAACCCCCCTGCGTCTAGCCCAGCCACCAAAACCTCCTCCAAACATCCTTCTCAACCAACTCTTGGTTCTCCTTAGAGAGACAAGAAGGCCAAAAACGAGATAGCCATGTCTCTGGCTGAAACCTCTCGACAGGTTTCAGCTATTGAAACCAGCCTTAACCACGAGGCAATTTTAGCTGACTCTCCTAGCTCTTCAGTGATTCTCCTATCACCATCGTATCAATGGCACCTACCCCAACCGCCTTAGTGACCCAAATCACTGAAGGTGTGCATATCAGCGTCGCCACCGCTGAACACTCATGTCTCTTCTCAACCATTTTCTCTTCTCCTCCTTCTTTGGTCTTTACACGTGTTGATGACGTATTAGCGACTGTCCTCCCTGATACTGAAACACACACCACTTGACCTGAGGTTGCTCCTCTCGATGCTCCTCAGCATACATATGTCCATCCTCTTGAGGATATCTTTGCTCATGCCAGTGCCAATCCTTTGGATGTCACTGATTGCCCCTCAGGTACTCCATCTTCCTATCCTTTCATTTCTTCTAACCCTGAGCTTCTTAATGCTCACTCTACATCTTTTACAGGTCCTTCTTCTATGCCCATTTCTACGGAAGTAGAAGAGGAACACAAAGATGACAAAGAGAAGGAAGAAGAGGGGGAAGAGAAGGAAGAGGATGGGGAGGATGACGCCATTGACAACGAAGATGACGAGGATTATGACATGGCGTCAGATGTCAAGCTTCTTCTCCTAACCGTCGATTCTGTTTTCTGCAAGATGACTGAAGTTCAACAAGAGATGCCCCGCAAGACTGAACTTGATGCGGACCTCTCAGCTCTCAAAGCAAATGTTCAAGAAGTATAGAGTCATCTTTTGACTCTCCAAGAAGCTGTTTGAGCCAACACTGAAGCCATTGTTGTTCTCTCCAGCAGGGCTGATGATGCCCAGGCTCTCTCTTTTTAGCAGACGAGACTTCTTCAGTAGATCCTGGATATTGTCCGTCAACGAGCTCCAGTGATCCCGCCCTCCTTTTCTGGTGATGATCATGCTCAACTCAATGAGACGCGTGAAGCAACGACAACTCTAGCCTCTACTCTGTCAAGGCTAGAGGAGATGATGGTTCTCCAGCATCAGCGCGTGGATGAACTCTCTGGTTTATACTCTCAAGTCTTAGCCAGAGAGGGGGAGATGAGGTCCAACGCTGCTGGACCATCTGGTGCTGCTGCTGCTCCAGCAATCTTTGCAGCTGAAGCTGAAGCTCCTAGAGTTGAGGCTATTGTTGCTCCTATAATCTCGACCACCGAAGCTAATACAGCTGAGGAGGTTGATGCCATACCAAGGGATGATGCTCTTCCCATCACCTCTGCACCTGTTGCTGGTGATGATGATGATGAAGATGATAAACCTGTTCTTCCGGACTCCGGAAGTGAACTAGATGGTGATGATGATGAAGATGAATTTACCATCAAGTATCAAAAGCCAACAACCGCCACCAAGGGAATCGCCTTCAAGGATTCTGCATCCCAGGGGGAGCAAAGAGAAGGAGAGTCCGCTCCATCAAAGAACGAGGACCACAAGTCGAAAGGCAAAGCGGTCGCTGACGAAAGGAATCTGTAGGTACTTTTCAATATCCCTCAACCCTTATTTGAATACTCTACCTCTCAGGTAGTAGTCATTTCACTCTATCAACTTTAAATTCCATCAACTACTTGCGATCGACTGGAATGGGTTCCTGAAAACCCTGTCTTCAATGCTCCCACCGACCAGCAAATGGCTCAGCTAAAGGAGTCACTCGACCAGATTAGAGTAAAAATCCCTCTTCGTACCTCTAGTGGTGGTGAGTTTGACTTCCTTTCAGAAGCTGAAACACTCGAGGCATTAAGGGCTGAACAAGTGCTAGAGCTTCAGAGGAAGCAGACTGAAGATAGCTTAAAGATGGCCAAGTCACTAGCTGAGAAGATTCTCCCCAAGAGAAAGTCCAAGAAGAAGGTGAACGTTGTCCAAGCACAGGCTAAACTTCTTTCCATTGAAGAAGTTGAGCATGAGAAGAACCTAAAGCTGATCGAAAAGGACAAGCATTGGAGCAAAGCAAAACTGAAGAAGAGAGTCATTCCCTGCCCGATTATCAGCATCAGCATCAGCGGACGTTCAAAAGATGGTAGAACACTGGTCTCAATCCTCATCACTAGGGACAATCTCGATGCCATCACCAAGTACTCTTCCTACCTTGGCCGCTATGGATACAGCGAATGGCTAGAGATCAGGCAAGCCATTCAGCGATCCAAGTCAAGACATAAGCCTATTATCAAAGACACCATCAGCGATCTCATCAAACGGATGTCCAGGTATGTCACAGTCCCTGACAGGCCTTCTCTAAAGAAAGGTGGGAAGAAGAAAAAGAAACTATCTAATCCTAATGATGGAGCATTCCTAAGGAACGAACATGAAACAAGGTTCTCCTTAGATGAAATCCTGAAGGGTCATGAGAGTATAGACATTTCTATGTTGAATCTCGACTTTCTAGATAAGGGTCCCTATACACCCAACTTTGTGCATTTCAAACCTGAGTTAGGAGTTATATTCCTTGACTATGAAGGTGAAGTCAAATTTCAAAGAATGTCAGAGCTACATCTATGTCCAATGGGTCATTTGGTTTACCTCTTACTCTGGATAGATGATAGCATGTCTGGAAAATTCGTGGACCTGAAGATACGAAGGGAATGCCTACATTGAAAGAACCTTGGTGAAGATGTTCCTAGTTACATAGATCTAAGTGTTCTAGATTAATTTCTCTTTGAAATATTGTTCACTTTTCCTTGTAAATCTATTTCACTATGTCTACTTTCAGTGATTAATCTTCTAGTCTGTAAGTATTAGACATGTACTGAACTACTTGTAATATTACCAATGATAATAAAATGAGTATTTCTTGTACTTCACTGAAAAAGATCCCTGAAAAAAAATAATAGGGACAGAAGTCTTGAGTTCCAGTGTTACTTTTTATATTCATTTACAATCTCTAGGTCAATGAATAAGCTTTCAGTTTCAGTTTCCATCCTTGTAATTTTCTCTTAGATATGACTTAAGGAAAATTCTCAAGCAAATATTGACTCACTGAAAAAGATCCCAAAATAGTAAAAAGGGACATGTACTTTATATGTGACTTTTCCTTACTGTTATTTGATAAGACAACTTTCTTTATGTTGTCTCGTTATCATCAAATAGGGGGAGATTGTTGATCCTCTCTCTCAGTGATTTGATGATAATCCCTTTTCACTTATACGAGGTATTTATGTTTTTGTCTTTTCAGTTCCAGCGATCTTCACTAAACCTGTTCAGAGATCGCTGAAGAACTTGTATTGTAATTCAATCAGCGACAGCGACACTTCAAGAAGACAACACTCACACCAAAGAACCTTCAGCCAATGTCGAAGACTGAAACTGAAGATTAGAGACTGGCGAGTACGTGATCTGAAGCGGTGCTCAGTGATTACAAGTCTGTCTACATATGTGTGGAGACTGCTCAAGCCTCAGCAAATGCTGAAGAGACTTCCAGGTCATTCCAGCATTCAGCGATCAACGGAAGCTTCCAAGCACGATTGTTGTTGTCTTGTCCTTATACACACAAAGGACAAACCCATACCCTTTCTAATTGTTAGTACAGTACGGAGCCGACTAGTCGACTCTATTACCCACCAACTTTAGGTAAGGATGTCTGCTCATGAATAGGCTTTTTGTACTATTCATTGTAGCAAAGGACAAGCTTTTCCCTTAAGGCTTGACACGCACTCTAACTCTACCATATTGCATTAAATGTGCATTTAATGCAATGGGTATAAATAGAAGTGTTTATTCTCCATGCAGAGTTCGCGCAACACACTCTCTTAACCTAATTCTTACTTTGAGCATTCTAGAGCTTAAGTAAAAGAACTCCTTACGGCATATTTTTTTCTTATTTGCTAAGAATCTGTGTGTAACCAAAGATTGTTTAGATAAGTTTTCTTACCTTATCTTTCTGCAAACAGTCTTGTAAAATTTGTATTGATCTTCTCTTATCAATACACATTTTAAATTTGAAAATACTGTGTTTGTATTCATCCCCCCTTCTACAAACTGTTATACATATCTTGTATACCCTCAAGGGACCAACAGGTTAATTAAATTTAGGAATTTTCTTTTTACAATGTATAGACTTTGTTAGAGAAATGTTATACCAAAAAATTCAAGCATGAATAAGATTACCAACATTATCGTCTAGTAAAAATATCCCAATCTATAGAAATGAGTAATTGAACGATGAACTAATAAATTCGAAAGGAAGACAAGATTTAGAATTTAACACTTTTCAATAGAAATCTAAATTTCTTATGTTGATTATATAGATATAAACTGATGTGCAGATTATTGATACTTACCTGCCATTCAGCATGTCCTTGAACTCCTTCTCCATTGAGCCTTTTTATAGCAACACCAATTCCAACACCATGTTCTGATGGGGCGAAGGTGTTCTTGTCGATCCACCCTAAAAACACCCCTCCGAAACCTCCTTCACCCAACTGCAGCTTTGGACTAAAGTTACTTGTAGCCTTCTTCAGATCAGTAAACTTAAATTCTTTTAAACTTTTAGTTTTGTAATCTGTAGGAACTTCTCTTCTGCCCAGAAACATATTGTATTCAGCCCCTACAGTATTATCAACAGTGCTGCTGTTGCTCTTGGTATTACTTGATTGCTTTGAATTGGCTGAAATATATGTATACAAAACAGATTATAATCATATAAATAATCGCTATTCTAACTTTCCACCATCATAGTGTGGTTCTTCCAATATGCTTTAAGTTAATGCCCAATCAGATGTTTATCCTTAGGTTTCGATATAGATAATAAGAATTCTTCAGTTTCCTAATCCTTACAACATTGCACCTACAACTTCTAAAGCATCTCACAGTAGATGAATCAAAGAATCTCCCATCAAGGTTGTAATGTGTCTTCGTCATGAATATGTAATATGTTATTTCTCTTTCTTAAATAGTGAGTTTTAGAGATTTCTCCAAATTTTCATTCTCTCTCTATTTTAACATACAATATAGCATATCTGTTGGAGCAGCAATGGAGCAAAAAAATCTCTAAAACCATCAAAATCTCTATTTCAGCATAGCTGGTTGGAGATGATCTAAGGAAGTAGTATGAAAACCTAGACATAAGGAAATACTCTTGTGTTTTTTATGTCGGGATTTGAAAACTATATTTTCATTGATGTTGTGATCATATATGCCAAGATAGATACACATCCAACTAAAGGGTTATTGGCCAGCGGTGTCAGGTTACCGGTAGAGCCCAACCTGGAGGTCAAGTGTTTAAGTCTCACCAAAGAGAAGTGTGTGCGAGTTTTTGGGTATAAAAATTTCTATGTGCTCCAAAAAGAGGATGTACACACATAAAAAGAAAATGTAAACACAATTCTAAGTGAGCTTGAAATACCAGAATTGTCTCCATTGGTGAGGAAGGGAAACACATCAACCATCCAACCAAATATAGTTCTATTGGCTACAGGTTGCAGTGAGTTATTGAATTTCTCTTGTAAGGTTAGTACAGACTCAAGACTGGCCACGACTCCAGCCATGGTAGAGCGTTGCTTTGGATTGTTGTGCAAACAGCTCACTACAATTCGAACAAACTCTCTCAAACATTTTGGGGATATTTGATCCTTTATATCAGAATCAATTATGTGCTTCAGTTTTCCTTCTTTGATAGATTCTTGAGCCCATCTTGCTAAATTCCATTGCTCCTCATCAAGAGTTGCATCCACAGCACGCTTCCGACACAACACTTCCAACAATACCACGCCAAGAGCATACACATCAGACTTCCGTGTCAACTTTCCGGTTGCATAATAATCAGGATCTAAATACCCAAAAGTGCCTTTAACAAGGGTGTTGACACAAGTTGATGGTTGATTCGTTGGGCCGATTTTGGACAACCCAAAATCTGAAATTTTAGCTGCCCAACTTTCATGCAACAAAATATTTGAGCTCTTGACATCACGATGTATAACCCCAACCTGAATCCCTGTACCAGTGTGTAGGTAGTGCAATCCACGAGCAGCACCTATGCAGATATTGAGACGCTGAATCCAAGAAAGAGGWGTRCCAAGTTTATGGAGATGATCTTCAAGTGTACCATTGGGCATATATTCATATACAAGGATCATCTCTTTTCCATGATTACAATATCCAAACAAAGACACAAGATTACAGTGTCGCAACTTAGATAGCATCTCAACTTCCGTCCAGAACTCAGCTGCTCCTTGATTGGACATGGAATCCAAGCGTTTAATGGCAGCATCGACAAGACTTGGTCCATTGGTAACATTGCATCTGTAAACTTTTCCAAAACCCCCACGTCCAATTACTAAGGAGTCATCAAAGTCGTTAGTTGCAAGCTGAATCTCTAAAAAATGGAAGTGACGGCAGGGTTGTGACCCTTGTAAGCCGGAGGTGGAGGAGGATGAAGATTCAGACTCCATGCCTTTATCAGTAGCAAATAACGTAATTATTATTGAAGTAGAAAGTAGAAGATGAAATGGTTGATCGAGTCGTAGATGATGATGTTAAAGCTTAAAAGTGGACCCACAAAATGAGAATATTTTTCCAGGAAAGAGAGATGAAGCCACCACTCAAATTTTATATTTAAGTTCAATTATTAAATTGATGGTTTCTTGATTACATATTGGTGTCATTTGGGGGAGGGTATCAATTATCCACTTGATTGCCGCTTTGGTTTGTTTAATGACACATAGACATTGACTAATGCTTATTTACTTTTAGTATGTAATTAATTGGAAAATATATATATATATATATATATATATATATATATTAAAGGAGAAACTAGCTAAAATAACATGACACTATGAGATTTGAGTATTCCTCAAATCTTGAAATGTGGTTAAATTTGTTTATCCTATATTGGTGGGAAGAAAAAAAAGTAGAAGGAATGAAATGTGTATATATATGAAAATACGAGCTGATTCTTTTTGTTGCAAATCATGATGTTGGCTCAAATGAGTCAACCATTTCATTTGCAATTGTCATTATGAGATTTGAGTATTTTTCTTAAATCTTGAAATGTGGTTAAGTTTGTTTATATCATATAAAAAATAACTTTAAAATATTAAGATGACATCTTGTGAGTGGTGTATTTTAAAATCTTGCGTTGTGGTTGGTTTTTGGAAATCCCACATTGATAAACAAATGATACATTGATAGAGTATGATAGGTATATATAAAATAAGCATGTGATGGTTCGAAAATTGGAAGAGCATGTGATAGAGTATAATATAACTATGTAAACTATTGTTTGACCTTTAATTTTGGAGTGATATTTTTTATTATGAAAGAACAACAATCAGAGTTGAGGTGACATTATATAATTTGAATATTTTCAAAGTCATGAATTATAGTGTTGTTTAAATTTCCTACATTGGTAGGAAGATATTATTATTATAGAGGAACAATAATCGGAGTTAAGATAATATCATAAAATTTGAGTATTCTGAAAGTATTGAACTACAGTATTGTTTAATTTTCCTTCATTGGTAAGAAGATAGTATATTGACAAAAAGACACTAGAAGGAATGTAAGGGGGGGGGTGTATATATATATATACATGTATAGTATTGTTTAATTTTCCTTCATAAGACCAAAAACATATATATGAACAAGGGGTGAACAACCATATAAAACCAGAAACATATATGAATAAGGGGTGAACCTTAAATGGTGTGGATGCAATACATGTATAAAACTCCAATTGACAAAGAATCGTTCTTGCATGTGTTTATAATGAAGGAACTATTGTTCACAAGTTGTTCATATTGTGTTCATACATATTTTTTTTATTTATTTCCTTTCGTATAGCAGTTATTCTTATTATGTTCATAAATACTATGCAGTCCAAGTTCATATATATGTCAATTTTTTGTTCGTATTTGACACAATGGTTTATATATATATATATATATATATATATATATATATATAGTTGTGTTCATATGGTTTTTACATTAACAAAAATAAATTAACAAAAATCATAATATTTTTTGATTTTGTAACTCTCAATTAATGATATGAGAGTTATATATTTTTTTATATCTAAATACTCTTTTCAACTTTGTTAACTTGAACTTGGCCCTCTATATATATATATATATATATATATATATATGAAAAGAGGAGGTGATTTTTTTTTGTTGCAAGTCATGTTTTTGGTTCAAATGAGTCAACTCTTTTACTTGCAATTGTTAATATGAGATTTGAATATTTCTTAAATCTTGAAATGTGGTTAAGTTTGCTTATTCCATATAAAACGATGATTTTAAAATATTGAGATAACATCTTGAGAGTGATATATTTTAAAATATTGCGTTGTGGTTGGCTTTTGGAAATCTCACATTGATGAAAAATGATACATTGATAGAGTGTAATATTCTATCTATATTATATATATATATATATATATATATATATATAATTAATGTAAACCCACAAAAAATGAGGTGACATCCTAAGAAGTGAGCATTCTTCATTTTTTGAATTGTGGGTGAGTATGTGTATCCTACATTGATGAAGATATGAAATATTTACAACGAATGGTGGGTATTTTAAAGGGAGATTTGAGATGCTTTTGTGGCAACTTAGGATGTTGACTCCTTTTGATCAATCCTCTAAACTCACGTTGTTGGCTCATTTTGACCAATCATCCGAACTCATGAGTTTACTCATTTTGGCCGACCTCATTTTTGCAAAAAAAAAATTAATCATACAAAAAAAAAATCTTTATGTTTATGTATACTAGAAGGGCACTCGCGCAATGCAGCGAGATACATCTCGATTTTAATGTTTCTTTTTATTTTGTTATATGTCGATGTTATAATATGGTTTTATATGGATTTGAGAAAAACGACAATGTTTTTATTTTTGAATAAAATATAAAATTAAAGATATCCTAATTAGGGGGTGTTTGAGATTGCTTATAAAAGCTGTTTTTTAACTTATTGCAGTCTGGCACCGGTGATAAATTGTTTTCTGGTGTTTGGATAAGAAAAAAAAACTATTTATACCGGTACCAAACCGATAATAAGCTGTTTTTGATAAGTTAATCATTCATGACTTATGAAAAACTGCTTATTACCAGTTTACAATTTTAACCCTGTTTTAGTTAACTCTGGTTTAATACCACATAAGTTAATAAACACTTTTACAAAAAAACATAAGTTGTTTTAAATAAGCAATCCCAAACACCCCCTTAATTATGTATTTAGTTAAATTTTATCATCAATCCTTCAGTAATTTAATCAAATTATTTTCTATTTTTTTAATTTGAAAAATTACCAACAAAATATATTTTATTTTTAATTAAAATAAATTTCATCAATAATCTTTTTTAAATCTTTTTTTTAATTTGAAAAATCACTGACAGAATATTTATTATTTTTAATTAAAATAAATTTCATCAATATTTTTTTAAAATGTAAGTATTTTTTTTTAAATGTAAGTACTTTTTTGGTATATTTGTTTTATTTTATAGATGTAATTACTTTTTTGTTCAAAAACTTAATCGTTTAAAATATGAAAGTCCATTGATTTTTTTTCAAACTCTTTTCATTATTTTACCACATTAACCAGTTTATAGGTCATAAGAATGTATCTAACAGGTTTTAAAAAATCCAAAAAGTTATTTAACATATTTTGAAATGCCCAATAACTTATATGTTCCAAAGCAATTGTCTAAAAACTTAACCATTTCAAACACTAAAGTCCCTTGAAATTTTTACACTTTCCCTAATTAATATTGATAATTAGTCATTATTTTCTTGAAGATTTTGTAAAATTTAACTAAATTAATTGCAATAAAAACACAACATTCCTTTACTTCCTGTTGTAGGATCCAAAAAACCCAAAAAAATCCAAATTCCATACCACTAGAATCTTTGCATATGAACAAAAAGTATATGATGAAGGGATTGTCCACTCTCAACAAAATCTCTAGTGAAGTTTCTATTTTGGATCAATAAACCATCAGCGGCTATTATACACAATCAAATATAGGAGTTGTTTACCAAACACTTATCCAGGTAACTGCTTACCAATTCACGTTACCTCACTGGATGAATATGATAAGAATCAAGAATCTTACCTGGTAAGAGCGAGACAAGGACCAAAAGTCTTACCCGGTAAGTGAAGGCGACGACTCTTACCATGGTAAGCGTTTACCGGGCAAATTGTTGCATACAAAGTCGTTTTGGTGGACTAAAATATTACCCGATAAATAAATAATAGTGTTAAATTTTACCGGTAAGCACTTACCGGGTAAGTGTTTGGTAATCAGCCCCATACTCGAGTTAGCATCCATTAGTTGATGAATCATGAATGCAAGACCAACCACTAAGAAATAACCATCAATGGCAAAAAAAAAGATCAGTTTAGCTTGAACCTTTCAACAACACCAAGATGAACAACAAAGCAAACCCAAAGACTCCTCATATGAACCCCATATCACTACATACCTTCTTGCAGACCCCATTGCAGTCTGAAAGTGTTATAGAAGTTATTGTAGAATCTTCAATTGTAAAACCTCTGATACAAAACATGTATAGTGAACACAAAAAATATAAACATCAACGAGGAAACACAATAATATCAATCCATCTGTATGTGTATCAACTATATGATTATGTCGGGTTAGCTCAACTCGCAATAAGGTTTGAGCCTTTGGGGATCATCCTTAAAGTTCACCGGTTCGAGTCCAACAACGGTCACCGGAGATTTTCCTGGTTGCTTTCCAAATCCTTGGGATTAGTCAAAGTGCACACATTTTACTGTAATGAGAAATATGTAGAAATTGCAGTGGCAAAGGAGTCAAGTAGATCACAGCTTCATCAGATTACAACCATCAACAGTAGCAGAAATAGAGTAGAGAATATACACTTGTCTTTGGTTCACTAAAATCTTCGATCGTAATATGAAGACTGATTTAAAATTTGGATAATTAAAGTTAGCTTCTCTCTGATATGGACTTTATCTGGTATCAAGAATAATTTGGAGAGCTTGATACAAAATCAAAATCGAACTCCGAACCCAAATGTATAATCAAAATTGATCGATCTAGAACTATGTCTTCACATCTCAAATTGGATGCAAAATAAACATCGAACTTAGATGCATAACCGAATTCTAGCTATGATGCAGAACCAAAAAAGAGATTATCTAAATTATGAACTGGTTGTCTGGATCAACGCTTGTTATATATTTGAAGGAGTAACTAATATACCTTATAACCCTATTACCACTAAAGGGCTTTTTGGTATTTTCCTTTTTATAGTTTGTTAGGTTCTGTTTTATTGTAGTATAAATACTCTTCTTCTCTGTTATCAAGATACTTTTGCTTTCCCAATTTCTACTTTTGTAATATGGTATCAGAGCTTCTCACGCTCTCTCTGTGCGATGTTCATTACAGTTCTTCAGATCTGAATTTTCTCAACTAAAAAGCCCTTTAGTGGTAATAAACCCCAATATAACCATCAAACTCTATACCTCTCCAAGAGTTCAAATGGAATTTCTAAAAATCCACAAGCCACCAAACCTTTCTATAATGAGGCTGATCACGTCTGTACAATAGACCAGCACTAGCAAACCAAGTCACCTTTAATCTAATCCAGAACCAACAACTATAAATCATGAGAAATCTTTCCAAAGGGTCTAAATAAAATATACCATATTGAGCAAGATTTGAGAATTTGTGGCAGAACCAAGACGGTTGCTGAGCAAGGAAATAAGCCATCTCCAAGTCAAAACAAGTAGGAATCTACAAGGAAGATCAACAAGTCTGATTCTGAAAATAAGACAGAACCAGAGCAACAACATTAAAATCTGCATTCAGAAGAAGACCATATCTTTTCCAGAACTTAGACCATCTCAACAACTGAATAAAAACAAAAAACCATATGGAGCTGAATAACGTAGGAGAGGACGAGTATGAAATAAGCTGGGAAAATGCAGCAAAATGTATGAAATAAGTATTGGCAAAGTCATAACAAAACCACAAAGAAAACTCAACAAAACTTGATATTTCTAACGTATCCTAGGCTTGAAAATCAGGGAAAAAAAACAGATAGAAATATGGGACCTGGAATGCCCAATTTATTACCCTTCCACATACTTGTAACAAATCAAGACAAGTACATATATAACATTTACATTTAAAAGAATTTGCATTTATCTAAAGACCACACAAGAAGTCGATTCAGAAAATAAATTAGCTAGGTGCATCTATATACAAGTTAAGTGTATATATGCTTTCATGTTGGCCTCCAGAAGCCCAAATATCTCAGTGTTGCAGGTTTTCCAGCACTCTTCAGACATCAGTAGCTCCAATTTGTCAAATAAAATTTTCAAATAACCAAAGGCATAATAATCTACACAAAAATACATTAAAAAAATTATCCCTGGTTACAAACTCGTTATAACATAAAGATCAAGCCAAACATTGATTCTGAAAGAAAATCTCCGAAGATGTGCAGTGATTAATTAAATTGGATTACCGAAACATTTGCAATTGGTTTTGAAATTAAATTTCCATACAGGCCATAAACAATTATATACCTTATGTTCTAATCTTAGTTAGGTTATAGACCATTACACATTGAATATAAGCAAATGGATCAAGCAAGCGTATCTGCAAGACAAAGCACGTACCATCCCTAAACTACACTACGTTACAAGTTTTGGAGAAGATACTCAATGGATTGAACATGCCAAAAAATCTCCCTAATCTGTTTACACAAGTCAGCAATAAGCTTGTTCATTTCTCCACACACTGCTGCCAAAAAGTTTTCAAATTGATCAACTTTACTTGCCTATTGCAAAATGTACCCCATTTTTTATCTAAACAGAGCTTGGTGCATAATGTTTTTTTTCTGTATTATGAATGTCAAATGAATGCGCCTATCAATTACATGGTAATTTTATAATTGAATCAAGAACCATATGATAAACCATATGATAATCCATCAAGTCTTATAGTCAGGGTTCATTTGATATTCTTGAGCCAAGTGTTTCAAGAACATCAATATGTAGCCATCTCTGCTTTCCTTTGGCTTTCACTTTAGCAACAGTTTTAATGAGTTAACTGCAGAGAATAAAAACAGTTGCCCAAAAACCCATCAACAAAGACATCAAATATAATTGAAAAAGACAAATTTAAGTGAAAGAAGAATATTCTTACATAAAGCTACAATACAAAATGCGGTAAAATTCTGATTGAGATTGACCTTTTTAATCAACTATAGATTAAAATCTATTCAACTCTGAGAAAATAAAAATTCCTCCAAAATATATAAATTTGTGATGCACAAAATCCATATATTTTATGTTGATAAATTATTCAAGAATTGCAGATAAACCCACATTGAATTTGTTCATGAATCAGAAAAGAAATGAGCTTAAAACCAGAGTAAATGCTTGCCTTCTTCAACTTACAAATGAATTTGACTCTGATCCATAACCCTAAGCACCATGAACTTTAGTTAAGAAGAGGCAGTAGAAAAAGAATTCTCTATGGGAATCCTACATGAAAGAAATCAACAATACCCCAAAATGTACCATCAAAATAAAAGATAATAAAAGGAGAAAAAAGGATAAACCTTTCTTTTTTCTTCTGGAAACAATAGCTCATTGTTGATTGGTTTTAGAAACCTAAAATCAAAGACAAAAAGACACCTTTAGCAGCAAAAATCTGTTTCAAAAAAGGTAAACATTCTATTGCAGGTGCACCCAAAACCTAAAATCAAAGAAAAAGAAGTAAAAAACGCATGATGATGATGAATCGATTTGATAATTGGTACCTGATAATGGTGAGGATTGATACGAAGAGGACTGCGATGAAATGATTTGGTTGAAACCTTTGGTAGATGTTGGAGGGAAGAGATGAAAGAGGTGTTTAGAGAGATAAGCATGTTCTTATTATGAATTTGAATTTGAATTGAAATCCAAATCAGGAACATAAAGCTGTTGACGGAGATATGAGAGCAAAGACAAGGTGTATTCTTGGGTTTAGGGTTTAGATAAGGAAATTAATTATTATTATTATTTAATAATATAATTTTTTATAAAGATAATAACTAAATATTCTATTATAATATAGTGATTATCTTAATTATATTTTAGATTTTTTATATTTAAAATGAAATGTTTATCCGGTATTTGATCATGTTTATCTGCAGTTAGTTACACGAATTCAAACATAGAGATTTAATAAGTTGTATTTATGCATTATTTGTTTGTAGTCTTAAATTTTAAGCAATATGCATCAATTAATAGTACTTTATACATAGAAATTGGTTTTTAAGAGTTTTTATCAAATGTTTTATAATATAGTATAGATTAAAATAAACCGCACAAAGAATGAAGTGATATTAAATGAATAACATAGAGGTATTGAGCTGACATTATGAGAATGAATTATTTCCAAATAGTGAACTATTGTTGAGTTTTAGAAATCTCACTTGGTGAGAATTTGAAAGATATAATAAAGAGACATGTATAAGAATGAAGGATGAGATGATAATTATGTCAACTAATGAGATTTGACTTATGAGTTGTCTTATTTTTATGGCCCTTATTTTGCAAAACAATGTTTATTATATAAAACAAATCTTATTAAAAGATCAACCAAGTATTGTAAGGTGACATTACAAAACTTGAGTATTCTCAAATATTGAAATATGGTGTGTTTTGATTAATCCATGTTGGTAGGAAAATGGTAGATTGGAAAAAGAAATATGTCTTTGAAATCTATAGTTGTGGGTTGGAATCAAACCCAATTCCAACCAAACGATAAAAAAAATATAGTTATGAAAAACCATGTTGAAATCTATTAAAGTCAATCAAATCGTAAAACTTATAATTATGAAATACTTTTCTACATGTATACAAAAATATGAAAAATGTCTTTCAAATGTATAGGCATGGTTGAAATCAAAATCATTTCCATCCAAACAATGAAAATTATAGTAATGAAAAACCATGGTTGAAATCAAAGTCAACCAGATGACAAAACCAATTAGTAATTTTTATATTTATTTTTATATCTTTATATATTTTAGAGTAAAACTTATAAGAGATGAGGTAACATCTTAAAGAGTGAGTATTCTTCATTTCTTGAATTGTGGTTAAGTTTTGTATATCGCATATTGATGGAGATATGAAAGATTTACAATGAATGGTGGGTATAAGAAGGGAAGTTGAGATGTCTTTGTGGCAACTCATGAAGTTAGCTCCTCTTGACCGATCCTCTAAACTCATGTTGTTGATTTATTTTGTCCGACCCTCCGAGTTTATGGGTTGACTCATTTTGATCAACCCCTTTTTAGCAAAAAAAAAATCTTAACCATACAAAATAAATTGGTTAAAATATAATTTTTGACTGACCTTCATTTTGCAAAAAGAATATATATATATATATATATATATATATATACACACACACAAAAATTTAATTAAATACAAAATGATATAATGTTAATAAATATCAATAGTGAAAACTATAACTTATAACGTACTTTTTGGAGGGATCCTTCTATGTAAAGATTTATATCTATATATGTATACATAAAATGAAGATCGTAGGGCATGAAGTAGTATTATGAGATTTAAGTATTAAAAATATTCAATGGTGTTGTTTTCATTATTCATATTGATGGGGGAAATGATAGATTGAAGATCATTATATAATAAAAGAAAATTTGTAGATGTATGAAATATATTATAATATTTGAGTTGTGGTATTGTTTATGTTACATCGCGTTACGGATCACGTAAGAGATTGAAGAATGATTACGAATATATGAAAGGAGAAGATACACATTTGAAAATTAAAATGATTATTTGGCTAAAGTATGCATTCGATTCATATCTTACGGAAAMATCGATATAAAAATAAATTTTAATTGAATATTTATGAATAAAAAGGAAGATGGTAGAGGTTTGAATTGTATAACAAGATTTGAGTAGTTAAAGTTTTTGAATTATAATCTTATTTTGATTATCTAACTTTGTTCATTTATTTAAAATATTCATTAAAGCCAAATGTCATATTATAAATTTGTATCATCATACAACGCGCGATGTTGAATACTAGTTTACGTTAAAATAACACAAACTTTCATTGAATTCTTATTTTAAGTAACCAACTTTAAAGTTATTATTTTAAGAACGTAACAACTTTTCATATATTTAAGGGTCTTGGTTACATGTTCAATAGGTAACGGTTATGTAAAAATGATGTAGCAAAAAAATAAAAAATAAAAACTTGATGTTAAAACAACCAGATATACACCGAATCCAAATTCCATGTCTTAATTAAAAATAAAATAAAACAATATTTTTAATGAAAGAAGAAATCATATATAATGAGATTTGCGTATTTCTCAATTTTTGAAATGTGGTTAAATTTGTTTATTTCATATTGGTGGGAAGAAATAAAATAGAAGGAATAAAATGTGTATATATATGATGTTGGCTCAAATGAGTCAACTCTTTTATTTGCAATTGTCATATGAGATTTGGGTATTTATTAAATCTTGAAATGTGGTTAAGTTTGTTTATCTCATATAAAAAGATAACTTTAAAATATTGAGATGACATCTTAAGAGTGATGTATTTTAAAATCATACGTTGTGGTAGGTTTTTGAAAATCACACATTAATGAACAAATGATAAATTGATATAGTATGATAAGTATATACAAAATAAGCATGTAATGCTTTTCTAAAATTAAAAGAGCAATATGACTATGTAAGCCATTGTTTGGCCTCTAATTTTGGAGTGATAGTTTTTTTTTTTTTTTTTTTTTTTTTTATATTTTTTTTTTGAAGGGACAACAATCAAAGTTAAGGTGTCATTGTATAATTTAAGTATTGTCAAAGTCATGACTTATAATATTGTTTAGTTTTCCTACATTGCTAAGAAAATAATACATTGACAAAATAAAATTGAATATTTCTTAAATTTTGAAATGTGGTTAAGTTTTCTTATCTCATATAAAAAGATGACTTTAAAGTATTGAGATGACATTTTAAAATAGTTTTTATTATTATAGAGAAATAATAATTGGAGTTGAGGTGACATCATAACATTTGAGTATTCCGAAAGTCTTGAAATATAGTGTTGTTCGGAAATCCCACATTGATGAAAAAAATGATACATTGATGGAGTGTGATAAGTATATATATAAAATAAGCATGTGATGTGTTCGAAAATTAAAAAAAGAGCAATGTAATTATGCAAGCCATTGTTTGGCCCCTAACTTTGGAGTGATAGTTTTTATTACAAAATAACAACAATCTGATGTAACACCCCTACCTCCATAATTGCATATAACATAGAATTCTTATACAAAGAAATACATGTTTTTCCCACATAGGTCCATAATGCAAGAGACTATGCTATAAAATATACAACTCAAAATTTTCAAAAGTACATGCTCATGTATCTCTACATCTATACTTCAAAACATGACTAATAAAGATCTTCATGCAGCTAAGCACATAGGGAAATAATTCACATTTTCCCTTTCCCTTATTATCATTTTGTTAGGTCACAATGATCAATCTTCAATATAACTTGTAAGAATCTATGGCAGATCTAAGATGAACTTGAAAGAATACTTGAAAGAGATTAGAGAGAAAGTCAACTTTGGTCAAGCTTTCAATATGTAAAATGAATATTACAATTAGGCTCTCACAAAATTTACAAAAGACAAACCCTTTATATAGGGTCAAACTAGAAAGCTACTAGTCAAAGTCAAACTAACTAATACAAAGTCAAACACGATGTCTATTTAATTATAGACAATTTTATCTTTCAAGACGAATATAATTTAACACTGAATTTCAGTCCTAACATTCTCCTCATTTGCATTTAGGCTTGAAAGAATTAACGCGTTTTGAATCTCGTTTGAACTTTGTTGCTTTAAGCACTTTATGACTTCTACAAAAACAATCTTTACTTTGAAATCTTCAGACGATCGTTTGTTGAGAAAAAAAATATTCTAACATTATCCCCCTTGAATGTAGAACAACGATGATCTTCTCTTTTGACAATGTAGAACAATAACAGTAACGATCTTCAGATATAATCTTCAAAAAATTCTTCAGACAAATAGATTCTAACATTCTCTCCAAAAACGAACTTCTTCAGACAAAAATTCACAAACTTTCTCTTTGATAAGAAATTTCTATTAGTAAACTTTTATAAGGATGATCTTTACATTCAAAAGCTCTCAGACATTGTAGCACAAGAATAATCTTCTATAATAATCTCCAGTCATACTCCTTTTGAGTCTTTTGCCGACATTGATGTTACTCCCCCTTGATCTTTACAACATATTTCCCTTATATCGTTCAGAAATGAACATTTCATTCATTATTACATACTCCCCCTTATGATKAAATGAGAATCATTACATCATACACAAGAATGAATGAAATCTTCAGCGAGAACCGTCAATTCATAAAAATTGTAAGCAGATCTTTTCAAATCCACTTGTTTAGTCTTTTCAGATTAAAGGGAATGGGAATGTAACACCAATTTCAACTTATGAAATTGTTTTCAATCTTATAAGAAGATTGACTTGTGAGTATAACAGATATACTCAGTACAACGGATGTACTTTAYATATGAGACTTTATGAGGCTCATCTCACCAGGTCTTTCATTCATTCATCGATATCTTATAAAAGTATATCTATAAATGTTTCGGTAAAATAACATATAATTTGCAAAATCTGTGTAGTGTAAAAGATAAAGTAACATATGATTCTGTTTAGGCTCAAAAAGATAAACCGTGTGGACTACACAAGTTTATCAGACTCAATTAATGATCAAAAAGACTTGAAGGGGGGGGGGACATATATCATTCTGTTTCAATATCAACTTTCTCCGAATGAGAAATTGATAGATTGTGAGCTGCGTGTCCCAAGTGTTATTGAAACACTTATCTGTTGAGAGATAAATGAGTAGCTGGTGGGGTTGTGACAAGAATTGGCCTGGCT